GGGAGGGAGGGAGGGAGGGAAGGAAGGAAGGAAGGAAGGAAGAAAGAAAGAAAGAAAGAAAGAAAGAAAGAAAGAAAGAAAGAAAGAAAGAAAGAAAGACATGATCTCACAGAGTAGACCCTAGTGGGTTGGCCTGGTAACTACTGGGCTAGCCTCAAACTCACAGAGTCTAAACTGCCACCTCCTAACCTCCTAAATGCTGGGATTAAAGGTGTGTCCCACCACACCCCAGCTTCATCTTTGAAGTTATTATTTTTATTCATCATGTACATGAGTGTTTTATCTTCATGTCTCTATTTGTACCACCTGCATGGCAGGTTGTCCAAAGAGGCATTGGATTTCCTGGAACTGGAGTTTCAGGGAGTTTGTGAGCCACCATGTGGGTGCTAGGAACTGAACCTGGATCCTCTCCAAGAGCAGCAAATGCTCTTAACCACTGAGCCATCTCTCCAGTCCAATCTTGTGTTGATGATTGTAAAAGGGGGTACTTTTCCTCCTGAAGAGAAGTCTCTCAACAGATTTTAGAAGAACTAGATGCCAGTGAGAAGGCTCAGCACCACAGAGATCGTCAAATGGCGAGCAGCTGCCTGGCGGCGATGATGCTAACAGTACTTATACAGTTACAGCCAAGCATTCGAGAGGCTTGGGTCGGAGAATTCCACAAGCCTAGGAGTTCAGGACCAGACTGGACAATCTAAAGAGACCCTTCTCTCAAACAAAACAAATAAAAACAAAGCAAAAGCCTCATGGTAGTAGTGCGCACCTTTAATTCTAACACTCAGGAGGCAGAGGCAGGGGGATATCTGTGAGTTCAAGGCTACTTTGGTCTACAGTGTGAGTTCCAGGACAGTAGGGACACACACTGAAAGCCCGTCTTGAAAAACCAAACCAAACAAAACATTAAGCTTCTGCTCAGCACCTACTGTATGCCTAACACTGTCTCAGGACTTTTGGGATACAGTACATTTTAAAACAAGACAGTTAAATGTCTACAGGGTTACTTTCTACTGTAAAGAGAAAAGTCACAGTCTGTAAAGTCAGCATATGGGATGGTACATGTTGATTACTGTGGGAGAAAGGGATACTGGGACTGAGCGGTGACTCAAAAGTGAAGCGCTTGTTGGACCAGTGTAAGGACCTTGTACCCAGCCATCTTTCCTTTTACTTCTTTATTTCCTTCTTACTTTCTTCTATTTATTTATTTATTTATTTATTTATTTATTTATTTATTTATAGACAGAGTCTCTGGCTATCCTGCAATTCGCTCTGTAGACCAGGTTGGCCTCAAACTCACTGAGATCCACCTGCCTCTGGCTCTCGAGGGCTGGGATTCAAGGTGTGTGCCACTATGCCTGGCTCCTCCTTACTTTCTTTTTTCCTAGAAGACTGATTTTATTTCTAACAATATAAAAATTATTTGGGTGTATGAGCATGTGTGTGCTTGCTCTTATATGCACATGCGCATGTGAGCACACATGCCCATGAAAGCTAGCGGTGTTAGATTTCCCAGCAGCTAGAGAGACAGGCAGTGGTAAGCCGCACAATGTGGGTGCTGAGAACTGAAGCTGAGTCCTCTGGAAAAGCAGAAGTGCTTTTAACTGCTGAGCCATCTCTCAGTCCTTACTTTCTTCTTCTTGAATGATTATTTCCATTTATGTGCCTGTGTGTGTGTGCCTGTGTGCTTGTGTGCATGTTTGTGTGTATGTATGCTATGCATGTTGGTGCCCTTGGAGGCTAGAAGAGGCTGTCCCTAGGAAGTGTTCTTAACCACCGAGCCTTCTCTGAAGCCCCCTTAGTTTCCTTTCTTTTCCTCTGCAGTACTCAGATGGAACTCAGAGCCTTGCAAACCACTTAGTGGACACTACTGCTGGCTCACACCTTCAGCCTGGATTTCCTTTTCTTTTTCTTTCTTTCTTTCTTTCTTTCTTTCTTTCTTCTTCTTCTTCTTCTTCTTCTTCTTCTTCTTCTTCTTCTTCTTCTTCTTCTTCTTCTTCTTCCTCTCTCTCTCTCTCTCTCTCTCTCTCTCTCTCTCTCTCTCTCTCTTTATTTTTTTTTTTGACAAGGTCTGACCACCTAGCCCAGACGACTGAAATTTTAGAGTAGCCAGAACAGACCTCTGCCTGGAGAATGTAAAGGAATGCTGGCTTCATGGAGATTTCTTGGGAAGATTTTCAAGCATTAGGCAGAACTCCAAAGATCCTAAGGCAGGAATAGGCCTGAAGGGAGAAGCTGAGAAAAGCAGATTGTGTGCTCCCTTACAAAGGCTTTAGGCTTTTGGCTTTCAGCAAGAAGGGGTTTAAACCATCTTTCAATACCAGCTTACCTGATTTTCTTCCCAGTGTCTGGATGTGTGCCCACAGAGTGACATCTGGCAGGGACTTTCCCCTGCAGCCCCCACCAGTCTCCCTCTCAGGCTGGGATCCGGTTCACTCCACCCCTTTCAGTTGGTTTTGTTTGTTTGTTTTGTTTTTGTTTTTGTTTTTTCGAGACAGGGTTTCTCTGTGTAGCTCTGGCTGTCCTGGAACTCACTCTGTAGACCAAGCTGGCCGCGAACTCAGAAATCCACCTGCCTCTGCCTCTCAAGTTCTGGGATTAAAGGCGTGTGCCACCACCGTCCAGCCCTTTCAGTTGTTTTTAGGACATGCTCCCAGCCCTGGGAGCTCAGTGTCCCAATCAGAGAGCAAATTAGAGGTATCTAGTGGTGGGTCCTCCACAACCTGTCTTCCTTTCTCCCCAGACATTGACTTCTAAGCAATCTCTGTGGGAGCCTCCCAGTGCAACACTGAGAGTTGGGGCCCAGAGAAACTGGGAATGCAGAATAGTGAGCAGAGAGTTGCTCTACAAATCTAGAGAATCCCCTTCCCCACCAGCTTAACACTCCCACCCCTGGTCTGACACAATGGCTGGGTGGGGCCCGAGGAACTGGCTTCCTTTGTGGAGATGGAAATCTGGGCCTTCAGTTCCCGCCTCAGAGACGCAGAAACTTTTATTTGGAGAGGTTGGACAGCACTTGGTGCTCCGAGGGGACTGAAAGATAAGCTGAAAAGAAAAACTACCTCAAACCATAAGGTAAATTCCTGGGGGGGGGAGGAGGTTCGGGGGCTCTGCAGATGTGGGAGTGGGTGGAGAAGAGAGGTTCTCTCAGTGCAAAGTGTGGTTGGCTCACACCAAGGCAATAGGTTGGAAGATGGGGAGACAGACAGTTGTGCAAGCCAGACATCCCTTAGCTAAGAGGGAGACAAGAGGAAGGTCATGTTGTACTGCCAGCCCAGCTTGCCCAAGCTGCCCACCCTCATTTGAACCCCCCACCTACCCACACCCCACACCCACCCCTGCCACGCCACACCACACAGCAGTACAGGTGAAGGTGGACTCATAAACTAGCCTCCTCTGCATACCTGAGTTGCAGCCTTTTCTAACCTCCAACACCTTGGAAGCCGGATTCCTCACATCCTCTAGACCCAGTGTGCGCATGTGGAGCTTGGTGTGGTTGGGGGTGGTGGTGTCCGGTTGGGAGGAGGATCGGATTCCTGTTTCCTGCCCCTACTCACTCAGCCCTCGGAGGTGACTGGGAGTGGAGGGAACTGGAGGGTAAGTGCTTGGGGCCCCTGACTATCTGGGTTCTGTAAACGCCTCAGTCTGGAGTGGGGAAGGAAGTAACTGGAGGGACCTGGGATGGGGAAGGGTGCGTTCCTTGAAGGGACAGAGGCTGGAGAACAGGAGGCCAAGCTGGGGTAACCTCACTGACTAGTTGGCTTACTGGCACCACGTATGGGCCACTGAGTGAGCTGCAATTTAAGGGGTCCCTGATACCCGTCTTTTCTCAAGAACTTAACCTGGGACCTGGAAGGCTATGATTTCTGACTGCTATAGGGAATTTAGAGGTTCTCTTGTGTCCCAGCTCTGGTACCCATCCTCCTGGTTCTCAAGAGGAAGAGCAACACAGGTCCCACCGTCCCTGCGCTGCTGGTTCTGTGCCTCGGCAGGGACTTGTAGCCACCTCCTTGGCATTAGACAAGACCCAGTGTCCCATTGGAACTTCTTTCTATGACCAGACCCAAGTGTGGCAGAAATAAGAGGATAGATAGGAAGGAGAAGAGACCAGGCTGGGGCCTCCTGGTCTCCTGGGGTCAGAGGCTCCAGGAATCTTCATGGCAGGAAAAGGAGACTAAAAATAATCCGGAAAGGGAGAGTCCGGAGAGAGGAACTGGGAAATGGGAGGAGGGGCAGCCAGAGGAGGGAAACAGTGATACATCCCTCAGCCCAGGCACCACACACACACACACACACACACACCACACACACAAAACACACACCACCCACCATACCACACAGACACCACACACACACACACCACACATCACACACACCACACACACCCCACACACATACACACACACACATCACACACATACACACCACACACACATATACACATACACACAACACACACACACATACACACACACCACACACAGCGCATACTTGCTTACATAAGCTATACACAGCAACTACACCAGCAAGCTGAGTTCCTCTTGCTGAATCTTGTTACCCCTGCCTCCACATCCTCCCCAACGGCATGTCCTTACCCCCATTGTGTCCTCTTGGCTTGGCTGTGGCAGCAAAAATCAAAGGATAGAGAAGCCGGACACTGTGGCACAGCTCCAGAAGATGAGGCAGGAGGAGCAGAAGTTTTGAGGCCAGTCTGGGATGCCAAATGAGAGACCCTGTCTTGAAAAGAAAAAGCTACCCAGGAGGGTTCAGGGGCAGAATGAGGAGGGGTGAGGGGTGAAGAAAGAAGACAGTAGAGAGGAGGAGGAAGGGAGTGAAATGTATCAGCCTTCTCTCCTGACTGAAACAAATGTGGCTTCAGACAGCTTTAGTCCACCCACCCAGGGGGACACTGAGGGGCACTTTCTCCTTCTACTCTCTCTCCTCAGGGGATGACTTCCGCAGAACACCCCACTCCTTGGAAACATTCAGAAGACGATGTCAGCTCAGTCTCTTCCTGCAGCAACGCCCCCTACCCTGAAGCCCCCTCGGATCATCCGCCCCCGACCCCCATCTCGGCATAGGGCTCCACATTCCCCAGGGCCTCCCCAAAATGGCTCCTCTCCGAAACCACTTCCTCAAATATCCAATGATGCCTCAGCCTCAGTGTGCACCTCCATCTTCTGGGAGCCTCCCACGACTTCCCTGAAGCCCCCTGCTCTTCTGCCCCCCTCGGTTTCTAGAGCCAGCCTGGACTCTCAGACTTCCCCTGATTCACCTCCCAGCACACCGAGTCCCAGTCCAGTGTCCCGGCGCTCCATCTCCCCAGAACCAGCTCCCTGCTCTCCTGTGCCCCCACCCAAGCCCTCTGGGTCTTCCCGAACACCTCTGCCCTTGGGCTCTATGCCTCTCCAGGATGGCTCTGCCTCAGCCCCTGGCACAGTTCGAAGACTGGCAGGCAAGTTTGAGTGGGGAGCTGAAGGCAAGGCCCAGTCCTCAGACTCCCTGGAGCGGTGCTCCCAGGGGAGCACGGATGTGAATGGGGAGAAAGAGACTCCCCAAGTTGTCCTTACTGGAAATGGGTCCCAGGAGAACGGCACTCCCGGTAAGCATATGGTGTAGCGGGTGACCTCAACTTAGCTCTTTGTTTTTACTGTTTAAAGACTTTAAAGGGCTAACATTTCTAATGTAGATTTTATGTATGAGAAATCTATTTTCTGTGTTTCTTAGAGTTTGCAGATAGTCAGGGTGCAGGAGATCTTTAGATACCCTGGTTGGTCCTTGATGGGGGACAAGGCATAGGTGGAATGAGCCAGGCCCCAAGAGCTTCCTACTTAGGTAACCCCTTCTGCCACAGATGCTGCCCTGGCCTGCCCTCCATGCTGCCCCTGTGTCTGCCATGCAGCAAAGCCCGGCCTGGAGCTCCGATGGGTGCCTGTGGGGAGTTCTGACGACATCCTCAGGGTCCCCTGCCGAGCATCCCCACTCCGAGCCTCCCGCTCCCGCATCAACCCTCCAGTCATCAGTCACCCTCCAGTTGTGCTCACATCCTATCGCTCCACTGCGGAGCGCAAGCTCCTACCTCCCCTCAAGCCCCCCAAGCCAACTAGAGTCAGACAGGATACAAGCACCTCTGGGGAGCTTCCACAGCCAGACCTGGAACTGCCTTCAGAAGACGGGATCCAAACAGCTCCAAAGGCCTGGGAAGGTAGGGAGAGGGGGCGGGGCCTGGAGTTGTAGGATCTCTGGGCTTTGGGGATGCAGGGGTTGGGTGGGGTGGGATGTGGGGTGGGTGGGATGTGAGGGGTGGGGTTGTAGCTGAGTGGCCAGCTATATCCCTACCACACCCTGGACTTTTTGTTTTTCTACCCTATGCTGCTCAGGAGTTAAGAGGAGTGGTATTCTTGGTGCCAGTCTTCACTAGGGCTGGGATTCAGTGTCTGGGGGTTAGCTCTGGTCACTCTGGCTTCTCTCTCCAGGGGACAGACCTGAAGAAGCTCCTCAGAATGCTCCTCCTGTAGCCTTGGAGGGAAGGTACCGAACTCCCCACCTTTGCTCCGCCTTCTTGCCTCACCTCCCTCTCACCTAAGGGCAGACTAACTTTCCAGTCCAGATGAATACTACCTTATTCAGGTAGAAAGAGGAAGGGCCAGGGCTCCAAAAACAAGGAGCCCAGGTTTCTAATCTAACCTCTTATTCTTATAAGTTATGCAACCTAAAATAAATTCTTTTCCTGGGTCTCAGAGTCTTTTTCTAAGAAGCAGAGATAAACATGTCTCTGTTCTATCCAGTTATTGAGGAATAATAACCCGATATCGTGCTATTGAGGCACTCAGCAGACTGAGGCAGGAAAACTAGGAGTTGAGGCCAGCCTGGGATGTGTATTACAGTTTGTATTCAAAACAACAGCAACAACAGACCCAAAACAAAACAAAGCAACAAAGAAATAAAAAGAAACAAAAGGCAGGGACAGGCTCTGCTTAAATTTTCTTACTGTGAGTTTATATTTAAAATATTTTAAAGATCTATTTCTTTTTTTTTTTTTTTTTGCTTTTCGAGACAGGGTTTCTCTGTGTAGCCCTGGCTGTCCTGGAACTCACTCTGTAGACCAGGCTGGCCTCGAACTCAGAAATCTGCCTGCCTCTGCCTCCCAAGTACTGGGATTAAAGGCGTGTGCCACCACCGCCCGGCTTAAAGATCTATTTCTATTTATTTATTTTGTTTGTTTTTTCAGACACAGGATTTCTCAGTGGCCTTTGATGTCCTAGAACTTGCTTTTATTTATTTTATTTTATTTTATTTTATTTTATTTTATTGGTTTTTTGAGACAGGGTTTCTCTGTGTAGCCCTGGTTGTCCTGGAACTCACTCTGTAGACCAGGCTGGTCTTGAACTCAGAAATCCGCCTGCCTCTGCCTCCCAAGTGCTGGGATTAAA